TGCTGAGGCAGACGCAGATACATATACAAACACAGACGCAGACACAGACAGATGCATATGAACATACATCTAAGCCTACCTGCGTACCTACCTACCTACCTACCTACCTACCTACCTACCTACCTAGCTGCCTACCTACCTAGCTATCTATCTATCCATCCATCTATATATCTATCGATATCTATCTATCTATCTATCTATCCATCCATTTATATATCTATCTATATCTATCTATCTATCTATCTATCTATCGATCTAGATAGCTAGCTAGCTAGCTAGCTATCTAGCTTTCTAGCTTTCTATCTATCTATCTATCTACCTATCTATCTATCTATTTATCTATCTATCTATCTATCTACTTACGTTCCTACGTAGCTATCAACCCAGCTAGCTTGAGGTATAGGACTGAGTGCTTCATTCATTGATTAGCACTTCTTAAGTAAATTACGTCTCCACCGAAGCTCAGAACAGCCTCCAAATGCGCGTCTGAAAAGCTGGCAGGCACTGGAAGAGCTCCTCGGCAGAGCAGACTGAAGGACAATGCCAGAAAATCCCAATCCTTCCCTCTCGCACAAGATGTCAAAAAACCGTAAGCCTTCTTCCAGGATGTAGGGGATGCACGACTTCACCAGTCCGCCTGTGAGGTTCTGGAAGACTAACAGCATCGGAGACTCGTTCGCATGCAGACTGTGGCTGTCTGTCTTCCTTATGTTCTTGGAGATGCCTGCCCCCTTAGATTAGGCCCTTCGTGAGTCCATGCGTTATAACGCAAGGTAGGCCATTGTCGGAGTATTTCGGCATGTACGTCCTTGCCAATGCTAAGACGGTGCTACTTGGCAGCAGAACTACATTGTGCCTTTCGCGAGAGAGCGTGATGCAGCTGCCCGAAATGCCTGCAAAGAGCACATGGAAAATTCCGCGCAAAGCTCTCAGGGACCATGTATCTTCGGCTTTCTACGGAGTCTTCGTGCATTCGAAGCTCATTGCCATCGACTACGATACTGAAGGCAGCCTGAAGTCAACACTGGTGGTTGAAAGCGTTTTCGGAGATGTTCAGGAGTGCACTCCTATTCTCTTGGTTTGAGGTTTGTCGAAGTTCGCCCTCGACCCTGACCTGATTCAAGTTGCTTTGCCGGGGTGCCCTTCAGGTGCCGAAGCCATCGTTGGTAGTGCCAACCTGAACGACCGCTCCTTGCTTGGGGATCGCGACGCGGAGGTGAGCGTGGCCGTCAAGGGACCCTTCGTCAAGGACCGGAGCGTCGCCAAAGCCAAGAGCGGTTTTTCTGTTTCGTCTCTGTGCATGATTGTAAGGTGGTACGCTGGTATGGGGGGGGGGGGGTTATGCCGTGGCTTTTCGGTGTCATACTTGGTCGCCTTCATGTCTTTTTGAGCATGACATCAGCTCAGTCCCTGCATCTGGAATCCCTTCGCACATCTCGCCCTTCAGTGTTTCGTAAAGTGCGTCTGACAGAGTGCCACAGTAGTACCACTAACGCCTGGTGCCCGGTGCTGCTGTTGGTGTTGCTCATGCTCTGCGTGTGCCGATACAAAGATTAGCGTTATGAGTCGCAGGCGATGGTCTCTAAACTGCTGGGGCCCCAGTCGATTTGCTGATGTGTCCAGGTCTAGACACTGAGGACTAACGACTTGTTATGACAATTCATGACGCTTCGTCTGCACATGAATCAGGATTGATGCTCACACAGAGTCTTCGACTTCTTTGCCCAACTCAGCCGATCTGCAACCGAGTCTATCGGTCGTAGCCGAGACGTGGTGCAACGATAGCTTGATCTCTTGGTGAGGGTCGAGAAAAGCTCACGGCAGAGTGTCGAAGATCGTTGCGTGAGGAAACCAACGCTGAGAGACTCCAGCAGATCAGCATCCAGTGGAGCCAGGCCAATCCATTCAGTCAGCCATGTCTCGACATGATGACATCATGAGATGCAAGCAATGCACACTACCACATAGACAGCGCAGTCTCGTACGGCATTGCACAGACAGGGCACTGTGCAAAACCGGAAGCTGCTGGATCAAAATTCGAATCCGCGCCCAAACAGCTTTGGGTCTCGAGCCTGGAACAGCTTTGCTTGAATTGAACCGCTGCCCCCATCATCTTCCGCTGAGGAACGAGCCTGAACATCTGCCAGAGCTTGATGTCTCTGAGGCCTTCATGGTCGGCGCTGGATACTAGAATTTAACATAGACTTGTTGAGTCCTTTGCTCTGTCGGTACCTTTGGATCCTGCCGAGGAGTCCACTGGAAGATTCTGCCTGGACACATGGTGAAGGGACTGAAGGGGCACCTGCTTCCCTGGAACATGGCCCTCTGGGGCGATGCAGATGTCTACAGGTTGCTCGGCCCCGAAAGCTCTGTCATATTTTGCTGACTACATGGAGCCAAACGCACCTAAACATCCCCCTACCTCGAAGCATGTCATTGGTGGCGCAAGCCAGGTCCTGGAAGCATTATCATCCGACGGGCGCGTGGCTGCAGGTGTCCTGATGGCGGATGTGACCAGTGGTTTCACTCACAAGATCTCCAGGAAGTGCCTGGACACAAATACAACATCAACCGTCAAAGCGAAAGAACGTGGGTTGAGCATGAGACTGTGCTGGCCCTGTGGCTGTTCCTTCAGATCGGACCGTGTCTCCCAGATGCGGCTCGTGAGCTCTCGTCGAGCAGCAGCAAAAGGGCTGATGCCTGCAAGTGCCGTACTCCCTTTTTGACACGTCTTGCCTTCCTTCCGACTCCTTAGCTCTTTCGAGGCAGCAGAAGAAGCTCGAGCAGATTCTCAAAGACGGCAAAGAGTCCTGAGACACGTCTGTTGTGCTGTGAAGCCCTGCTCTTGTGCTTTGTAGAGGTAGGTAGATCTGAATTTTCCACATCCCCGTTTCACTCTAATTAGTTATGCCATTCGGAAAATGCCGGTTTATTGGCAGTTCTGGTGGGGTGCAAGCACAGTGTTGTGCGTCTGATGCAAGCAGTTTTACCAGAACAATCGTGCTTTGCGCCCCTGCAATCTTCCGGACATCGCTGGTGAGATGCTGTAGAGGGCGGCATCTTCTCACAGTCCAGGAGACTTGCACTTTTGATTTATGACTGTGTCCGTCCATGTTAGGACCATGGACGGGGATCAAAAAAGCGGAATCTGCATGTGCTTTGAAGCTTGAAAGCAGTAATAGCACTACACTCGGAGTTTTGTTGCACTTGCTGCTTATCTGTTGTGCTACCGGCTCAAGTTCTGCTTCAAGGCACGCCTTGTGTTGTTCACCGTGGCTAATCTCTCAGTTGTCGTGCGGGTATCTCAAAGGAACTGTTCCTGAATTTGCCTTGACATGATCTCAAGGCCGAGCCCATGGGAGAGTTCGCGCAGCGCCTTGTCGTAGAAAATTATTGATCTCCCAGGTTTCCTCAGTGTTGGCACTTCTCGGAGACAAATGCCCGAGTCACCACTTTGACATCGCAGCAGAGTTCTTGATAGCAGACTGCAGTGCGGAAATTCCAAGGCTGGACAAGTTCCTGACGCAGGAGAAGTCTAGCTCTTCATCGTCCAGCAGTATTCTGCCGACTCCTGTCTCGCCTGCCTGGTACGACCCAGAGGCCAAATCCTGGTATGGCCGTTGCCTTAGTGTCTGTGACATCGAGGGGGCGCCTGGCGCCTTCTCTCCATCCGTGGATTGTTTCCAGGCCAGCAGGACATCGTGGGCCTCTCCCGAAAGGACAAGCAGAGCCTTGTTCCTTGCACGCTGCTTTGCAATCTGGCAGCAGACAGTCCGAGCTCCCACGAAACCGAGGGGGCCTTGCAGTGTGCCGTGGAGCTGTTATGTCCGAGGCCAGTATGCCCCCACCGGCCGTTCTCGATGCCGCCGCTGTGGGGAGGACATCGAGAAGGGCGTGCCCCGCATCGAATCGAGGGCTTCACAACACCATCAGAGCCCAGTCCTCATGGGCAGGAGATACTGGTAACATGTTTGGCCCAGGCGCTGAGACTGGGCTACCCGTTCCGATGGCGGCAGCATGGCGGAATTCTGCATGGGGAGCCGTGCAGTAAAACAGGATGGAGTTGGCCGAAACCATCGGAGCCCAGTTCGCGAGTCGTGTTTCAAGGCAGGCCGAAGATGCATACACGCTTTACCTCCACCCAGAGTGCTATGAGTCGTCGGTCTTTGGCATCAAGGACGCAGCAGACTTCTTTTTGTTTCGTGAGTATCATCAGATTCGCACTGTATGCTGTCGCTCTCGTTTCAACGGAGCTTTGCCAGGAGAAGGAGTTGCGCAGTAAAATCTTCGGGTATGAGGCGTTGAACAACACCGAGCGCCAGCGCCTATGGAAGGCCTCGTCTTGACATTACTGGTCGGAGCTTTAAGACACACAAAAGCTTCAGTACCGGATTATACTGTGTTAGTCTCTTTCTGATGCACTACAAGAAAACTAATGCATGCACATACATACCACCCATCATACATGTGTAATCATACGTACATACATGCACTATAACTAAATCGAGTACATGCGCATATTTCTTTATGTCTATATTTATATTAATATATCTTCACACATGTGAATACAGACATGTACATACTGGAACCTCTGGCAGGCCATGCGCTCAGAAGGTCGCTCTGCCAAGGCCAGCCGCGAAGGCCGGGCAAGAAGAGATTGCTGAGGAACGCAACACCTCAGCAATACTGAAGCCAATGGCATGTGACTTGGATACATCCGGCGAAATGCCGGCAGCACTCCAGCCAGGCAGTCCAGGAAATGCAGCCTCCTTGTAAAGGCTTGACAGAGGCTGATTGAAAATGCTGGCTTGAACGACTGCAGGTGCAGAAGCCGCAGCAGAGTACTCCAGTGGCTCAGTCGGCATCGTGACAAAGAACTTGCCTGAAGTAGCTGTTCCGAAGGACGGGTGCTGTGGGCATGGAAGATTTTGTTCGGGTCGTGGTCTGGACGCACAGAAGGCTTCCACTCTGCAGCGCATGAGACAGGATGAAGGGAAGGTTGCGGGCCGGGTCGGTGTAACGCTCCCATGCAGTCCTAATAGGAGTTTGTGGTCGGTGTCCTCTGGCCGGAGCTGAAGCAATTCTTGGGATTTTTCTGCCTGTTTTGGCACATCCGTGTGCCGCGATGGTCCCACTGGAGCACGATCTGTTCTGTGATGGATGCAAGGACCTGGCCGTTCCCATGCTGCCTTTCCAGAAAGAAGGCCGGTGAAGCTGGTTCGCAGCTCCAGCGCCCGCGCAATACGTCCATGAGAGTGCCTCCAGTTTGCCACCGATGCCTGCTCGCACAGGTCTGGCATGGATGTGCCACCAGGAGGACTCCGATGTGCGAGGCGGCATTCTGGCAGATGAAATGGGCATGGGCAAGACGATCCAGGTTCCCAGCCAGAATGATCGAGTCTCGTGTTGCAGGGCTATCTGGAATCCCTGGCAGGCTATCAGCTTGTTGCTGGCTCGCCCGTTGAAGGGGCCGTGTCTTGTGGTGTGCCCCATGGCTGCGGTCCAGCAGTGGGTGAAAGAGATTGCCGCTGGCTGGCATGAAGACTGATCATGTTGTGCGACCGGCTTCTGATTCGAAGAGCCACTCAGGCAAAATTCACCAAGAAAGGCCGGGCCATGCCGAGTAGTACTGGGTGGTCATCAGACTCCTCGAGCGCGCGAGCTGAGAAGCGTGTGAAGGGCGAACGTCCCGGCTAGGCACACTGCGGACCCTTGTCTACCACGGATCGGAGAAGGGCAAAGTCGCCACGCAGTTCAAAAAGTGCCACTCTCCCTGGAAATCTCATGGCTTGTGGATGATTGTGGTTAGCCTTATGAGTCTGATGCCTGCATGTGTCAGCAATGCCCGAGCAGCGCGGCAGCATAGGTGATGTTGTGATCACAACGTATCAGACTCTCGAGTTCCTCGGCATCATTTTGGAAATGGGGTTCCACACAGTGTCGCGTGTATCATGACTTGTGATAATCGCAAGTACCAGCTGCGCGCGACCCGGATGTGCTACAAAGTGCCCGGAGAAAAGATTGTTGTAATGATTCCTGACCCAGCGAAGGTCGGATTACCGTCGTGAAGCCCACAAGCATCGGGTGAAATGCGGCTCTGCTGTACTGATGTCTGCCACCGTGCCTTGAGCAGTCGCGACGGTATCTCGAAGTGTGCACTGTCTTGCGGCTCTCAAGGCAAGTATTGTGGCAAGCTCTTCATGCCCGAGTGCCTCGGCTCACAGAGTCACAGAGGCCGAGTTCGGAGCTCGTTGGATCGCAGGAAGCTGGCCGTACATCAGCGGTACTTCTGCGGGCCCAATGCGGAGAAGACCAAGAAGCAGCAGCTACCTGACAGCACTCAGCTCCTGCAAATTCGTCTGCATCGCGCAGAGACTCCAGATGTGCAGACGACTTTGATATGAACCAAGGAAGACTGCAGCCAAGAAAGCTATGCAAAGCATGGGCATTGGGAACTCTTCTTCTTCAAAGGAGGCTCCACCGACGATCACGAACATCTATCGTTCGGTCCACGGCGAACTTGTGGAACACTTGTGGGCTTGTGGCCATGCAGCTTAGACATTGGGCTCCGAGGCGACTTCATGAAGCAGGCTGGGGTGGATGTCAAAGCCAAAGGCTACTGGAATGCCGCTGGCCTCGGATTGTCACAAAGTCTCGCAGCCACTTGTGACAGCTCAAGAAAGCTCCCCATGTTACCAGTGCAATCCTGCATAATGACTTTGCGGAACCTATTGTGGCGGCCCAGGTCATGAAAGAGACTCGAGACAGGTTGCAGGAGCCGTGCTCTGCGCAAAGCGGCACTCCCAGAGTGAGTTTTAAGCGACACTGAGGAGAAATCGTCCTCGTCCTCGTCCAAGGCACTGAAATCACATTCTTGCAGTCTTTGCTGAAGCTGCATGCTGTTTGATGTGGAGTATGGTTGAGAGCGAGCCCAGATAGAAACGCCTGCATGTGAAGCCTGGTAGGCCAAGTCGAGCGATGATGGCCTCAGTCGTGAACGACTCACTCTCCTTGACAAGAAGGATGGAGCATCTTGAGTCAATGTTGACCGGCTGCTCAAGTGGGGAGATTTTAGCTGAATACCTCGAAGGAGTTGACCGACCTGTGCGTGAAGAAAGGCCCTCGCAGTGCAAATACTTTCAGTGTGCAAACGACCCGGCCTGGGAATGGGAGAACCTCCAAGCTTCCAGAACCCACCAGGTTGGACCACAGTCAGGGTCTTCGATGAACTGCTTGCATGGGTCTGGTTTTCACGTTTGAATGACGTACCACAGGAGCCCCTTTCGCCAAAAGTAAGAGCATGCTGCGGAGTGTAGGCCTGGATTCCGCGGGCCGCAAGCCCGAGCTCGTGGATCGTCTCATGGACTTCGCGGTCACCGGCATGGCGGAGGCTCCTGCCAAGAAGGCCTGGAGGACGGCTGTGCCCGTGCCAACGCTTCGCTCTGTTTCTACATATCCATCTACCTACCTACCTACCTACCTACCTACCTACCTATCTACCTATCTACCTATCTATCTATCTATCTATCTATCTATCTATGTATCTATCTGTCTGTCTATCTATCTGTCTATCTACCTATTTATGTGTATGCGTATAAATAGAAAACACATACATATACACATACACATACATGTTAACAAAGACACAGATAAACAAACTGCCGAATCAACGAATAAGTTTAAACACTATAATTCAATGAGAACTTACTTGCCAGTGATAATCTTTACAAGGACCACGATGACCGGGATTGGAGTTTGGGGTTTAGGGCTTGGGATATGGGGTGTAGGGGCTAAGGCTTAGGTTCAGGTCGCTGCTGACTGATCGCCGGCATTTTTATGCTCGATTCATGTTGCTACATCTGTCAGCATTGAAACTAGCCCGAAAGATCTCAAAAACCATAACAACTCTGACTAAGCTCTCTTTTCAGGGTTTAGGCTTTCGGATCGGTTAGCTGATTCAAAGCTCTAAACGTGCTCAGGCCCAAGGAACGACAGGCTGATCATGCTAGATACGCACACCTCCCCTCACCGCCCTAAGGCTCTCAGCCCGTATACCCGAAACGTCCTGAAACTGACACCCCAAACCCTAAAACCCTACACCCTGAACCTCAAACCTCAAATCCTAAACCCTTAACCCTAAACCTCAAATCCTAAAGCTTAAACTCTGAACCCCAACAAAACTGAACCCTAGCCTTCCAAAAACGCACAGATTTTGAGGCTCCGTCCATGACAGCCTCTGCAACCGTGAAGAGGGCGAGGAGTATGTAGTTCCTGTGTTTAGGATCTTCAAAGATTTGGGTTTGGGGGTTTCCCTTTGGGGTTTAAGGTCTAGGGCCTAGGGTCTGGGGTTTACGCCTTGGGATTTAGGGTTTGGGGTTCCTTCAAAGCGTACCTACCTGCTCTATAAGGGTGTTTAAAGGATTTCTGGTTTCTAGTTCCCCCGTTTCGGGTCCCAGCATGGCTGTCTGTCGAGCTTGCAAGGATTACTGAAAGCGATCACTATATGACTTTACGACTACTAAAAACGGCTATTATGAGACTGTAGGTAGAAGGGGCCTAGGGCTTTAGGATCACTACACAGTGGCTAGCTAGAAGACGTTCTTGATCTATATGGGTGGTTGTCAAAATTATGGTCCCTTTTTGGGTCCTTATTATAATACGGCACCTATTATTTAGGGTACCCCTAAACCCTTAAACCCTAAACCCTAAACCCTAAACCCTAAACACGGGGGGACCATCATTTTGACAACTACCCATATATCTATCATCAAAGCGAACACGGTGAGGCCTCAGGGCTCTAGGTTATCTGATGTTTAGGGTAAGGGATTTGGGGTTTAGGGTTTAGGGTTTAGGGTTTAGGGTTTAGGGCTGCAGCAAGAACCTTGAAAGCACAAGAAGTAAGAGGGTCCAGATAAACTATTATTATGGAGTGAGGTCCCCAAAACCATGATAAGGATGGTCGTTGGGGACCTAACTCCATACTGGTAGTGTATGTGGACCCTCCGGGTAAGTAGACAAGGATCGTGAAGGCTAGCTGTGCCTTGGAAGTTGAGGGTTTGTGATGTCACACCGGGGCCAAAGTACTTAGAGTAAAGCTTGGGCTTGTAGGTTTACTACACTGTACGAACCTTTTAAGGCAGCATAACCTTAAGGGTCCATGTACCCGAACAATTAGTATACACTGTGGCCGCAGAGTACCTATATAGGGACTACTTCAAAGGCAAAGCATGTACTAGTTGGGCACGTGGACCCTTAACGTAAGGCCTAAACCCTAAACCCTAAACCCTTAACCCTAAACCAAAACCCTAAACCCTAAACCCTAAACCCTAAATATGAGACCGAGAATCGTCGGGCTGCGTCGCATCGTACCAGGGCCTCAGAACATTTGCTCGTTTTTGATGCTTAGAGAGAGTTCGAGGTTTAGGGTTTAGGGTTTAGGGTTTAGAGAGAGTTCGAAGCCAAACCTGGTAACTTTGAGCCCTACACCCTTTGATTTAGGTGCCTTACTAGTTAGAATAGGGCTTAGGGGGATCTTATACTATACGTGTAATAAGGAGCGACCAAAATAATATTGGTAACTATTTAGGCCCCCCATATTAGCTTTGAGCCCGAAACCCTTTACCCTAAACTTCAGGCTCCAAGGGTGATTCGAGAATGCCAGAGATGGGTTTGCATTCACAAGGCTTTAAGGCTTGCAGTTCGAATAAGAGGTTTCGGCTTTGAGTGGACCAAGGTTCAGGTGTGGTGTTTAGGGTTTGGGGAGGGGCCGTTTAGTAAGGGCTTGGGTTTAGAGCATAGAGGTAGAAGTGCTCTCATGAAGCGCGGAAGGAGAAGAATGTCCATGCGGGCTCTCAAAAATCCTCTGTTCAGGACATCCACCGATTCATCCCTTTTAGATCCTTTTAGCCCACCGTGTAACCTAGAGCCCGAAACCCCGGTATTCGACAACTGTATCGCCTTGCAGGACCTCTATAGTATAGAAGCCTTTCAGCCCCCAAGCGAGCTACTATTAACACTAATATAGGGGCCTTAATGATCAGAATAGGGTGTTGGGGCCATCATACTAGATCTATGATAAGGAACCCCCCCAACTAATATAAAACCCTAAACCCTAAACCCTAAACCCAAAACCCTAAACAAATATAAGCAATTATTCAGGCCCCTACGGTCACACTAGCGCCTCGATACCCTGAAAGCCAGCCGGCTTTCTGAGCTCCCTGCAGCAGAAGAACACGCACGACATCGCCTTGGCTTTTTTGAAAAGGGGGGTTTTGAAGAGTCTGGAGTTTATGGTTTCGGGGTTCTTTAAACCCCACAAACCCTAGACCCTAAACCCCAACGCCCACAAACCCTAAACCCAAAACCTTAAACCCCAAACCCCAGAAACCTACCTTTTTGAAGGGTGGTTTAGGGTTTAGGGAGACATGTGCTTTGGTTTCAGGTGGCCTCCGGAGCCCCGGACAAATGCTCCGAGCCCTAAGCTTTAAGGGATCAGGGTTTTGAGGCTTTTTTGGGGTTTAGGGGTTTAGGGGCTAAGGGGTCTAGGGTTAATGGTTTACCTATAGGCCCCATAGTAGTTCCTTTTTGGGATTACCTTATAGAATTCTAAATGTGAACCCCAAAAAGGAACAACTGTGGGGCCTAAGGGTAGGGCTTTGGCTTCGACTCTTTAGTTCCAAAACCTTTCCACACGAGAGCTCTTCAAAGGAATGGCTGTAGTTTGCCGGTTTAGGGTTTAGGGTTTAGGGGTTTAGGGTTTAGGGTTGAGGAGGCCACGTGGAAGTGTGCACTTCGTTGAACTTGGGCTCTGTTGCCGGCGGATTCTGTGACTCTCCTCATCATAAGGACTGAAGAAACCCAACGCCACGAAGACCTGAACTCACCAACCTGCCTCCAGCAAATTCGTCTAAGGCAGCTTGTCCAACCTTAAGCTCATTGCTAAGAGGACTCCTGGTCCCTTCAAAAGGAACCCTTAAGGGTTTAGGGTTTAGGGTTTAGGGTTAAGGGTTTAGGGTTTAGGGTTTAGGGTTTACTTACCCTTGAACCCTAAACCCTAAACTTTGATGAAGGCCCTAACCCTAAACCCTAAGCTCCTAAACCCCTAAACACCCCTGCGATAGGAACCCCTAAACCCAAGACTTTGATGAAGGCCCTAAACCCTAAACCCCTAAACCCTAAACACCCCGCAATAGGAACCCCTAAACCCTAAACTTTGATGAAGGCCGCAACCCTAAACCCCTAAACCCTAAACCCTAAACACCCCGCGATAGGAATCCCTAAATTTCTGAGCGGCCTTCGAACCGTCAACCCTCAAACGCTGAAGCTTCACGACTGCGGCTTAGGGTTTAGGGTTTAGGGTTTAGGGTTCAGTGTTTAAGGTTTAGGGTTTAAGGTTTAGAAACCCACACTTCTCGGGTTCCTTACATAACCCTATGCTTCCAAGGACCTTATGGTTAATAATACGGTCCCCGGAAGCATCGGGTAAGTTCAAATCCTACAAAATCCACATTCACCCTACCCCTACCCTCAAGCCCACAAGGGCGCAGAGTAAGGAAATGTACTGATCTGTATAGATGCATAGATAAGCTCAGATAAGATAAACGAAGATAGGGTATGATCATAAAAATAAGATAAGATAATATAAGATAACGAAGGATAGGACTGACTGACAGTCACACAGCCAGGGAGGCAGGCGGGCAGGCGGACAGGCAGGCAGGCAGGAAGGCAGGCAGGCAGGCAGGCAGGCAGGCAAACAAGCAGACAGACAGACAGATTTATAAATCTGTTTACAGCACCCTAAACCCCAAAACCCTAAACCGTAAACCCCTAGAGCCCTAATATCAATCAACAGGCAATGAAGAAAGTTTGGAGTCCTAAACGAACAGGCCCAAGAACATTTGCTGAGCCTCCAGGGGTGTTAAGGGCCCCAGGGCTCTTATGGATTTAGTGTCTTGAGGGACTGCTAGGCTTTCTTTTTGTCGCATCTTTTCCACCTGCCTGGTTTAGTTAGGGACTGCTAGGGTTAGGGTTTAGGGTTTTGTGTCTCGAGGCGTTGCTCGGTTTGGTTGAAGGGCATCTAGGGCTTCAAAGGTCCCTTGGTACTTAGGGAGCCACGCTTTGGGGTCTAGGGTTTAGGGTTTAGGGTTTGTAGGGTTTAGGGTTTAGGGCTTGGGGCCAACACCTGGGCCGGGCGGCAATCGATGTGGTGATGGAGCCGACCAGCAGGGTCCTCGCTCTCTTCCCCAAGACACTCTCCGGCTGCAAGGGTCTAATATAGGGGCCTTAATCATTGGAATAGGGTTTTGCAGCCCGTTATGCTAGAATTATAAGAAGGAGCCCCCAAACTAGTATAGGTAATTATTTACTAGAGTTAAAATAAGGAACCACCAAAACAATATAGGTAAGTATTCAGGCCCCGACAGTAAGGTTCAGGCTGCAGGGCGCAAGAGTTTAGGGTTCAGAGCTCGGGGTTCAGGGTTTGCAAGAGACTCCAAGAAGCCTGAAACGGCTCTTAAACCCTAAACCCTAAAACCCTAAACCCTAAACCGGAGTACGACTTCGGCTGGATTCCTCACTTCCAAGGTCTCCTTTTGGAGTCTCTTCTTTAGGGTACAGGCTTCGGGTGTAGGCTTAGGGTCCAGAAGTTCTTGATCCGAAACGAAGGGCCTCTAATTGAGCTGTAACTGGTAATGTCTTCGAGAACATGATAGGATCCCACCATACCTGAGCCCTCAAGTCTGGCTTCGAAACATAGGTTTCAGGGCTTGTTTTGGGTGTGCCTAGGGCCTGAGGGGTACGGTG